TAAACCACCTGCATGTGCTGGTAAATGCCAGACACTGCGTTTGCTCAAATTATAAGGGGATGCAAGCCTAGAGAGCTGTAGACTTGCACAGATTTTTCTTTCTTCTCAGTCTTTTGGTAGAGTACAATAGCAGAAACAGCAATAGTATTAGCAAAAAGTGGGAGGAACCCCAACCAAGTACAACAGTTCTTAGAGAGATAAATAATCATTCCTGTTAGACCTTTGAACTGCATGCGCTAAACTAGGAATTGCTGGAGCTGGAAAGAGTACAGTGATGGGCAAGGTGCTTCCCAGCACCCTGGGAAAGGGCAGAAATGGAGGCTACTGACAGTCCCATGAACTGTCCCAGCAGTAGGGGGTGAGGAGGGGAGCTCAGACTGGCCGTATCTTTCACTTGTGGAACTCATCGCTGTCACGTGCTGAGGCAAAAAAACCTGCGTATTTTCAGAACTACTACAGAAGCGACGGTGTTTGTACCCAGTGAGCTCTTGAGAAGGTTCTGGCCATGCTTCACCTCTCAGGTAGGAGGGAATGGGAACAGCCTGGATTCCACAAGCTGCCTTTTTTCCAGGTTGTTCAAAGATCTGTCCTGCACTGGGGGAAGCTCTCGCTGCATTCCTTCTGTGATACAGCACGGTACCAACAGATGAACCAACAACAACTGAAAGGAAGCTGCTATTTTAGTCGTATGGCTTTAGCTACAGCACCCCAACCAGGAGCTGCTGCTGTCCTCCTAGCTGCCAGCTGACCTCCATGCATTAGGCTGTAAGGCACAAACTTCTTTCTTGGCGTGTCTTACGGTGTTAAACCTTTCACAGAAATCTTTACCTTCTTCTGAAGTATTTGATGAAAAATAATGTTGGAAATAGGAGTCCAAACTTCATGGTTTGCTGGTAGCTATTCCTAAAATCTTCTGAGTAGAAAGACAAAGGTATTGGTGTGCTGGGAAACCTTGGCACGTTCTTTAGCATCAACTCATGGGATGAGTTTTTGAAGAAGCTGTTTGACCTTGTCTGTGCTATTTCCACCCTGCAATGGTATACGTTCTGTGGCTAGGTGGAGAAGGCTCAGGGTGCTGCATCAGCTGGTGGCATTATGTGTCCTAGGCTGCTTTTCAATGGATGGGTTAGGACCAAAAACCTATTTTGGTTTCCTGATCATTCAGGTTGTTGCTGTTGCCTCTCACATTACAAAGCTGAGAAAAGCTTAGCGATTACTGTGGGAATTGAAGAGATATAAA